GCGATTTGAAAATGATGATTACAGCATTGCGCAAGGATGACACTTGAACAAATGGCTATAAAAACTGACTCTTACCATAACCAGTAGGCAAAATCGCAACTGCCTTCACGAAGGCAACTTTCAAGAATTTCAGCTGCATATAGGTTTCAAAATACTGAAAAGTAGTGCCCCCTCTTCATTGATAGTTGCCCGAGACACTTTCTAATTCAGCGAAAATGAGCTCGTCACCACACAAACTGCACACCATAGTGGTATATAGCCATTGTTGCCATTTTGCAATAGGCTGGTTCCGCGGGAATCAGACAAACTAGTCCTACATATAATTTGCATACATAAGGAGGAAGCCTCCCAGTGTATACAGGATTCTTTGATAGCTACCTGTCCCTAAATATCTACTGAGCGACAGTAGTTATTACCACATGTTGTATCCGCAAATCGAAATGGACATTTCGTGTCAAGTTTAAGCCCATTTTCATACACATGGTATCAAACTAACCGCAGGACATCAGAACAACTGTGAAATAAATGTAGCGGGTGAAGTACACATGGGAACAAATACTTTAAGCCTAGTGACGAATCCTGTCTACGACGCCACTTTTGTAGCGGTACGCCAGTAAGGAGGTCCACTCAAATGATTAGATTTAAGGACGCCAAGGACAAATCAAGACAAACAGAAACAAATCATAGCCGGAGTCAAATTATGCTTGGTCTCATGAACTTGTTCACAAAAATCGATTACAATAGTTTAAATTAACACATGATCTCAATTTGAACTCACAAAAACAACTGTTACAGAAAGTATTGATAAGATAATAGATTCAGTTTCTAGCTCTATAAATTGTGATACAGTTGCCAATGATAAATATATTAAATCACAAAGTTTGTATTTCTAAAGTTCCCAGATTCGAAGTGGGGTTCCTAAGATTCACCGGTTCCCCGAACGCCTGGCCAGTGTACGGCTGTTGTGAACTAGGCCTCCAAATTGCACCTGACATGAAACAGCCATATTGCCATAAATCAACATGTGACACACGGTGATTAAAACTTTGAGATTGTGAAGACTAGTTCACCCCAAAATCACTCCTTTTGTCAACATGAAATAAACTAAAACCTAGCCTAGCGGTAGCAAAGAACTTACATTATGACATTAGAATGTAAAGATAATACAAATTTTGCTCATTTAAAACTAAAATGTTGGTTTTCAAGCACAAGTTTTGTACACGATACTCACATTTTAGTGTGCATGCAGAAAAGGGATGGTATTCGCGCGTTCACGGCACTGAGTGCGCGATTGTATACATTTTTTCTGGGCTGTGTGCCAATTGTACGGTGCCTCGTAAAAGACGTCTCACTACATAAACTTGGCAGGATTTAACAAATGCCTTGCGACGATAGGAGCCAAAATGTCAATGGTGGGGTTGAGGCCCCGCCCCTCCGCGCTTTTCCAGCCGCTTTTAAGGTAACAAGTCTGACCTTCAACCACTTTTAAGTTATATTTTTAAATTCCATCAGTGGCAAGGCATGAATACAAACTGGTTTCATGTTCTCCTGTACCGTTGCGTTGCAATGATATCAGCGAAAAGGAACAGGAGGGGGCGGCCACGCCCACCCTCTGATCTAAAATTATTCTAACGTTATATTTCCATAATATACCAGTTTCAAGCTATCAAATGATACTGGTTTCGTTCTTGTTCTCAAAATGTTGATTAAATGTAAAATTGGCCTCACTTGGCATGGCGCCAATGGGCCTTAGTCTGATCTAGCGAAACTTAAGAATTGCCATTCTGTGATCAGGGTCGATGATACTACGCTTTAAGATAATCAGGGGATTTGTTCCTGAAATTTTGATTAAACACTATCCCTCTCTCAGTCTAGAAAGTCTATTACCTTATCTCTTCTGAACGTTCAACCAGACACGAAGTTTAAGTATACTACATCGGCACCACGAACTCACGCTCACGCGCAAGTGGATGTCAGTTCGTGAAAACCACGTCATCAATAATGTTGGTTTCACGAACAGACACCCGGTAGTAGGCAGGCACATCAGACACTGACGCAAAGTAGAAAGATTTTAGTTTTCACGAACTGACACCCAAGCATGCGTGACGCGGCATACAGAGCGAAGAAAAACGGTTCGATAGGTTTTACACGAATTTAATCCATCCGTATACTTGTACGCCTACACAAAAAGTTAATTAAAATCCGTTTCAATTTGTGAAATTAAGGTCAGTCACTAGTGTCAGTCTGAGAAACCGAAAATATACGGGGTGCGCACTAAAAGTGCCGCACTGTGGAGGATGTCAGTTCGTGAAACCCAAATTATCCCGGTTATGTAAAATACGCGCGCGTGCTGCGCACTCACGCGCACTCATTCCGTGGTGCCGATGACGAAAATGTGTCCACTTGTTTTCTGACTCAATAAAGGAACAGTTTGAACAGAATCTGTCAAGAACTAACGACTTTAATTCACCATTGGTAAACTCAACACTTTTACGCATGACTATTATATGTACATACAATATGGTACTTGAAAATAACACGTGTCAAGAATCGACGAATTTATATCAAAGTTGGTAAACGCATCCCGTTTTACACATAACTATAATGAAGACACGGTATTGTAAAAATAAAAACATAGTCCTACGGGTTCAAAATACAACGTTTGGGTTTTTCTATATGTATAGTTTTACCCTGCAAATACTAATGCTGTGATAACATTTTTGAAAAGTCGTAACGATGTTATATCCAAAACCTTCAAAAATAACATTTTAATGACTATGTAGAAATATCATGATATATACAAAAACATTTTAACAACGTGATTCAAATGCCTCACATGACGTTTTGTCAGGTATGTTAAAGGGATATTATCAAAACGTTATTACCAAATGTTTTAAGCAGGATTTATGGAGAAAATATTATGATATATACACAAACATTTTAACAACGTGATTTAAATGCCTCACATGATGTTTTATCAGGTATGTTAAAGGGATATTATCAAAACATTCTTACAAAATGTTTTAAACAGGATTTATGGAGGAAAAATCATGATATATTAAAAAAAAAATTTTTAATAACGTGATATAAATCCCCCAAATTTTACTTTTTATCAAGTAGGTTAAAGCGATATTATTAAAACGTTATTACCAAATGTTTTAAAAACAGTTTAGGGATGAAATATGATATATACAAAACATTTTAATAACGTGATTTAAATGCCTACAATTTGACGTTTTACCGGTTATGTTAAAGCGATATTATCAAAATGTTATTACCAAACGTTTTCGGCAAGATGTACCCAGCTAACACATCGATGTTTTTAATAGCGTGGTATACAGGTCATGTCTAAAAAGTCTTAGAAACGTTTTAACGACACCTTTCAGACATTAATAGCAAACGTTTGTCGGATGGTTTTACTACGTTATACTGGCATAATGCCTTAACATCAAAATAATGTCTTAATGTTGTTGTGATATTTTGTAAAATGTTATGACATCTTGGTCTTAGAAACATTCTTACTTCCGGCTTTCCTCAAAACGTGCGTTGAACATTCTACAAGCCTTTCACGTACATTTTGCAGGAATGTCATAATAGCATCACCAAGACCATGTCACTATAACATTATTACATAGCATTAAGGCATTAATGTTAAGATAATGTTACGCGCGCAGTTACCAGGAATGTCACGAAAACGCAATCATAACATTACCAAAACCATGTCGCTATAACATGATTAAATAACATTATTCCTTAACGTTCATATTATGTAACGCACACATTTCACTGGAATGTCGTCACAATTTAATAACAATATATTTCAAACCATGTCGCCATAACATTAATAAAAAAAAACCTTTCAAGCCATACGTTATATTGTAATGCTCGTTTGGCACTGACGTTTGAACTTAAACGTGTTGGTACAGTGTTGGAATCAGCATACATACAATGCCATTCTTACACTTCGTTCTTGCAATTATAAGGTTGCATCAACATTCAATTTCATTAGTCTGTATTCATGCTTTAAGTTTCAATATATTGCATAAAGGTTAATAAACATACAATAAATGATTTTGTTGCCATTGTATTGACATAATGATCATCAAATTGTGATCATGATCTATTTTGATGATCTAACACTCTTTGGCAAATGCTGTAAACGTTGTGGCAATGTTGTATGACAGTGTTCTGCATGACAACATTATTATGATGTTAATACATGTACTACGTTGTGATGATGTTGTAACAACATTAATAGATTTACTTTGACATTAATTTGCATGTTGACCCGAGTGGGCGTGTTAAACCTTGGTGAAGCAATGTTGTCACTTGTTTTCACCATTAACGTTATATTTTGCGTAATAGCGATATGTTTGAGGGTGGTTTCATAGAAAGAATGTTTGTAATATGTAACTTTTCAAAGTCTCAAAGAAACAAAGTTGCCAAAAAAAAGAAAAAAAGCAAATGCAATATTGTTTACGTGCAAACTGTGACTACAGACGATGGTGGTCGAGGGGCATACCGTGCAAGCACCTGCTTTCTCTGGGTACTGCAACAATCTCTGTTACGGGATATGTAAGTTGCAGGCGACTTAGATTTGAGAAGTGGCATGATCAGAGGAACCTTTGATGTCTAGTCATAATGTGTAAACTGTATATAACCAATATAAATTGAGTTTCACTATTATTTGTATATTACCCAACGTGAATTTGGTTTCAGGAGTCGCGTTGCCGAACTTCGGAAATTGCTAGAGGAAAGTCGTAAGACCGAGGTAATAATGTTTCTAAGGCCATGTCGCCATACCATTTTTGCAAAATATCATGACATTATTAGTTGTCATTATAACATTATTCTGATGCTAAAGCAGAATGTCAATATAACGTCATGAAACCATCAGACAAACGTTTTCTTTTCCTTAACGTCAGAAAGATGTTGGAAAAACGTTTCTAAGAGCATGTCGCCATAACATTTTTGCCAAATATCATGACAACATTATGTATACCACGACCAAATCGCAACACTTGCCCATGATCGCAGTAAATGGAAGAAGCTTGTAGTCGACTGCACCGCAGCCGAAGGATGATGATGATGATGATGATGATACCACGTTATTAAAACATTAATGACTTAGCTGGGTACTTCATTATTGAGAGATTTCGACTCAACTATATTTCAATTGCTTTTCATTTCTCGTTACTGGGACAATCATTGTCTCATTCCTAGAAGACCAGTCGTATACAAACACGTAGTATACAAACGCGTCTTCAATTATTACAGAACAGACAAGCACTATTCTATATATTTACTCACATTACTAAGGGAATAAATGTGTGTTTGGGAGGTATTATAACACTCTGTTTAAGACCGGTTTGAGTCTGGATGGTGCAACAATTATTGCTCTTAGAAACACGATTTTGAGAAAAAATGCACCTTTGCACTCCATATCGCCTATAGTTACTGTACATTTGGTAATTTTAATATGGTAATTTTGAATTTATAGAACATCAATTTGGTCTAAAACTTGTGAATTTTGGGCCAAAATGGCACCCAAAACCACATTTCTCCCAATTTCCAAGCTCCACATCATGCCTTATTTGAAAGTAGAGATATTAAGCTTTCTAATGATGTATGGTGTAGGTGGGTGTAGGTGTGTGTAGGGTAGGGCATTTAAACTCCTGAAATAAGCCTCTTTTCAAAGTTTCGCCAATCGCCTATGTAGATAACATACAACCCACACACCGATACACTCGTGGTCCGCTGTTTCTTTCTGTGTTGCTATGGCGCCGCCCTCGTACTCTGACTCCCACCCTGGATACAGGACGTTGCCATGCCAACTGTGAATATATTCGTGGTTTCCCAAAGCTGTACCGGTTCGAAGCAGGTTGGCTCCTAAAGTGTGCGGCAAATCATCGCAGATGGTAAACGAATTGCGAAGGTAGTGATCTTTTTGATGGGAAGAAGTAAGCAAATACAACTCGGCATATCCCATTTTTACGAAAAACTCCTCCATAAGCGGAATGAGCATGGCGCTCTGGCCCCGCCCCCTTTGCAGCTTATCTACACACAGGCTCTCTGCGTACAGCGCCCGCTCCCTATTGATGACTGGAATTAGCCGAAAATGACCGACTAAGGTATCTTTATCATGTGTGTCGTCTGAGTGCCGGACCAGGCCATATGAACATGGCGCAGTGGTGAGTTCTTGCTTGACCAGCTTCGGTAGAAGTTCCGCCTTGCATTGCGGCCATTCATTCTTTAAGGTCTTGATGCAAGCAGGGATGAGATCGGGTATGGAGTGCAGAGGCTTCAGGGAATACGAAGACGCCATCGCAGTGCACACAAACAATAATAGTAACCAAACCAATACTGAATGTTTAACCGTAGTCTGTTCTGTAACCAGCGCAGTGGCGTGATTCACCTCGTCTCCACAAAGGAGAAATGGATCAACCTCGGAGACCTGAAGCAGCAAAATAAAATGACCGTTAGGTCTACGATGTACAAAACAAGAAGTGTCATGCAGTCTAGTACGTTTTACATGTACATTTTTTGAAGGGCATATCATTCAATCAGGAACAGTGCATGCATGGTAAATGGAGGCAAGGAAGAACCAATACCGATGCCAACAATGGAATATTCTGCTGCCACCTTCCGGCAAATGTTACTCTTTTTGTGCGTACTGCGTACGGAAGGTGGTATAAATCAAGTCAAAGCTATTTTATTTAAAAAAAAAAACGAAAACGAAAAAACGAAAAAAAGAAGAGATATATTCATGTAGCGTTGATGTAGACTCGTCAGTATACGTGTAGCATCTGCACCGCATTTGAGAAATTTATGATGCGATCAAGCTAAATGAGTCGTTTGTCGACCCTGGTCTTTTTATATTTTTTAACAGATTTGAAAAGAGCACATTCTCATCATTACTGCTGTGAAAACTGCATGCTGATATCATCTTTAGTTCATTATGGAAGTCGGAACACCAAAAGATGTGTTAAAGTGATGTGATGAAGTAGCCCTATTTTGGCCTGTATCTCCAAATGAAAGTTCTCGACAAACGACTCATTTAGCTTGATCACATTATGTAGTATCGAGGTAAGTGACATTTTGACTCAAACATAAAGCAGAGGCACACGTTAAATTATGATCTCACTGATGATATACTGGGAATCTATTGTGTAAAAGTAGGCCTACAGTTATTCTGCGTGGCATACATCACGGTAATACATCCGTACAAGGGGAAGTTTAGACGCTCCAAGAATAACAGTGACAAATCTCCATTAACTACTGTAATTGCATACTAGCTGGAGTTACCTCAGCCCTATATTTTAGGTACCACGCCACACTAACTTTGAGGCTTGCGTCACTCCATCAAGGCTGCGGTATAATAGCCTTTTGTCAAGGCCCACGCGGCCGGCTACCCGGACACTTGTCGCACCCCGGATGCTGGCACTTAAAAAGACTAGCATGAGCGGCAAAACCGCGAGGGCCTTTACCATCTCTTGGAGAACGCAAATGTTTCTCTTTACATTTATCTACCTATTTGGTAGAGACATTTCTCATACTAATGTAAGGGCGCGCCTAGTGGTGCGTTCCCTGGGGTAGTTTGAGCGTGTGCTATCAAACTGGGGTAGGGTGTGTACCCTGGTGAATAATTGGCAGTCAACTCCAAATAAAGTGATCCAGGAACTCGAATATTGCAGCTCACAATTTATTTATTCGAAATTATTATGGGTGGAAATCCCTTGACATTAAAATGGTATCTGATAATCAGTTACAAATAGGAATGACAAATTATCACCCAAAAAATTCCCTAAAACCAAATTGGATCCTGGCAGTCACAATACAAACTACTTGAATAATCCTAATGTCAAATCCTGAGATAATCTTAATCCTGGTATGTATGTAGAAACCCTCAGTTTCAATGTAGAAATCCTGGTATACATTCCCTGTAAAACTCCCTCTACAAATCCAAGCAGATATTTCTCCAAAAATCCAGATCCAAATCTTCAGTATAAATCAATCAATCCGTCCCCTATTGATGCAAAATAAAATACAATTTAATGATTCAATCTCTTTCCATAATAAACTAGTAATATAAACGATAAATGGATACTGTTTCCCTCAAAGCCCTATAATATTACGTATAACTCGCCCAGACCGGATCCAAGACCATGCGCTTCCCTCTCTCGATTCCTGCGATGCTAGCGGACACGGCGGTCCTTAGCAACTGTACGGTATAACCTATGTACATGCAAATGAACGTATCGCGTGAACAATACATACATACATACAGGAAGTTTCACGGTGTGTGAGTCAAAACAAATTATGAACTCGTCACAATAAGCGAGCAAAATCTCTTTAACTGAAGGTTTTCAAACTCTCATACCTGCACCAAACTGATCCTGAATCAAATGCGGACAAGTCACCTTCATGCACGATGAACTTGAAATGAGGAAAATACCTCGACTTCAAACAGAAACTTTGAGCTAGAACTTTCTCAACTTTCGCCCAAAAAAACGTGGATAGAGAGAGAGAGCTAACACGCATGCGCGGTTGGCCACATCAAAATACTTCAATGTTATCGTACACGATTAACTCCCAAAGGTGTCTATAATACATAACAACATTGCAGTCATGCATCAGCATTATCACTATAAATATAATCATAAATGAGGTTTCATAAATCACATACCCCTACAGTAACATATCCAGCTAATAGCGTGACATGATACTTGACATGCTTAGGTTGGACTTGAAGCTTCCCATCGCTAGCACGGTTGCATTTTATCGTTCGTTTTGCTTCACAAATGTGTTTTTCGTTTGGCTCATGCTGTCTTGTACTTGATAGTCTAAGTCTACGTCTAACCATCGTCTAACACAACTACAGCAAATCATAACGGCCTCAGAGCCCTCACTTACCGGGTATTTCGGAGTGTGTGCTTGTGGTAGAAAAGGCGTGACACAGCTATAGTGGGGTTGAAGTTTATTTAGCACTAGATCTGGTGTTGCATAATACTGAGTGCAAGCCGAGTGCACGCATAACCCACATCGGCCTTCACCCCTTTTCATATAATAATGACCGGGGCCAGCCACTGTGAATTGCACATTTTGTTGGGGGTCATACGGTTGTTGTACACCTAACCAGACTGATAAAATCCCCACCGTATTGTGTACGAAAATTCCTGCAGGGCTGTGCGCTTCGACCTTGAGTGCGGTATACGCAAGTGTATAGTATGGACGCCTGTACAATCATAGTCATAGCTCAAACTGTGGTCCATTTTAGTTTTTATAACAGCTCAAATTGCACAATTTATAATAATGATCATTGCACGATTTATAATAATGATAATAATAATAATAATAATACCGGAGTCTTAATTATATAGCGCACGTAACTACCAACAATTAGGTACTCAAGGCGCTGGAAATTATGTCTATTATTAAAGGGAAAATACAACATTTGCAAACATCAAAAAATAAAACTACCAAATCATTTTGAAATACCTTGCTGGACTGTTAGTGAATGACAGTGTAAAGCATCCTGTAAAATCATGGCACCTGGTATACTGTCATTTTCAAGAAAAGTGGTATTTTTGTATCAATTTCCAACGCTGATCGGCCGATCAGCGTTGGAAAAAACTGGCTTTTTTTCAAATACTGGCCCCAATTGACCATCGCACTTGTTTGCAATCGATTACAAACCTATGAACGGGTACGAGCCAGCTAGACTGGTTCCCTGACCTTACAATACCCCCAATGTATGTAAACTGCTCTGTTTCTTCTTATATGGAGTCAGGGAACCAGACTACAGGAAAATGATTGTTTTTCTTGGTTTTTATAGCATTTTCGAACCCAAAACCTCAAAAAAGTAAGTGTAACTATATTTGCTATATATTTCCAACCCCCCAATTCCATCCATTTCTGAAAATTACAGCAAAAGCAAATGATGTATATTCCCTTTAAACACAGGTAAAATTAATGAAGTTGATGAGAAATATGGGACCCATTATGTAGCACCTTATAAGGTTTACAAGGTGGTGCTGCGGCGCATATTGCAGCCACTGCCAGAAACACGGGGGCAAACCCCTTCTCTTAGCGACAAGTGTTACTGAGTTCTTTAACGTGCATTTCATCAGCTTTCCAACGGTGCGTGAACCGTTCTTTTTACAGCGTTGAACACACAGCGTGGCCGCCCCCAAAAGAGGGATACATATGTATGTTCCTGCCCCAACACACACAAATGGAGTTTTGATGTTTTTGACGGCGTTTTGACGGGTCTTTTTTATGGCACAGATAATAGTGTCTGTACATTTTTTTTTTGGTTAGGTGAGAAACTGCACTTCAACATCCCGAGTGAACCTATAGTTGATACATGAACGGTTCTTGAGATACCGTAGCGTGAAATGTCTTCAAAACGGCTCGATTTTGGACCTTTTCTGCATGGTTTATCTGTGTTTTCGGCCTCAATCATTAAGTTTACTCAACATATCGATTTATGAGCAAGAAAACTTGTTAAATCAATTAGTCCCTAGATGGGATGACATGTGGATGCGCTCCTAGAACATGTAAGTGTCACCCTAGAACATGCGGATCTATGCCATCCTACAGAATTAACATGTGGATGCAACCCTAAAACATGTGTATGCCACCCTAGCGTTTGTTTAAAAACTCTTGTTTACAAACTCAACAAAGGCACGGTTAAAACAGAACGTATCCCGAACAACCATTTTTAATTCGAAATTGGTAAATAACAGTTTGACGTAAGTTGTCACTTCTACGAGACCATAAGTGCATGCATAATGTCCAGGCTTTCACTCATTACCATATATAAAAAAGTAAACTGCATCATTCTACATAATGCTTACATTATTAAACAAAATTTACAAGGGGTGTTTAAAAGCAATATGAACAGAAAAGAATACGAATCATACAGAATAAATCAAAAAGACAGTGACCGAATTAGAATTTTGTTTAAATATGGATCGCTCCATTTCATAAAAATAACATAGGGTTAAAGTCCATGCTATTGACTAGTAACTGACAATTTCACTTATTTGCATACTCTATTCCAAAACTATGACTATTTTATTAAAAAGATCACAAAATTAAGCTCACCAAATTAAGCTGTCCACCACTGTCCACCACTGTTCTACGAAATAAATACAATGAAACATAAACGTTTTCCCACCTCCACGAATGAACGAAAACTTGCAAAGGAAAACAGACAAAGTTCCCCATCAATATTTCAGAAAACAAAGAGTGGACTTGTTCCTCATATTCAAAACACACAAATCTTACATTAAAAATAATGTTTCAGTCTTGACTCAAATAATTAAAATCCCATTTGTATTTGAATGCGTGTGTATGATTTGTAATTCTCACTGAGCTCAATAGCTTACAATGCTTCCAATTCCAAAGCTTCCAATTCCATGGAAAGCTTTAAAAATAGGTTATTTTAGTGAAACATGCATAACTTCTGATAGCCTGGATCAATTTTTAAAAAAAATGGGGGGGGGGGCAGATGAGTGGAAGAGCATGCGCTTTTTAGACATACTTGATGACTCGTGTATTAAATTGGATTGCTTTTTAATGAAACAAAAATCATGAATCCAGGTCACTTAATTTTTTGACTCACCCTGTACGGTATCTCAAGCGTAATTTGACCCGAACATGGACACGGAAGTTGAAGACACGTAGGATCATTGGTAAATACCTGGGGATGAACGCATCTCCTTAATGAGAAAAACCTAGCTCAAAATGATCGAAGGACTGCAGGGGCGGATCTAGTTATGAACTCCGTTCTGGGGGGGGGGGCGGTCCGTGTGGGCTCCCCCCCCCCCTTACCCGGAAAATATTGAAATTCACGATGCTTTCCCTGCATCCTAAGGCAATTTGAGAATAAACTTAAGAACTTTATTTTTCCATTAATTATTTGGGGCCCCATTTTACAAGAGTCGTTATTATTATTATTATTATTATACATTTTTGACAAAGTCATGAGTTGTGGAAAGCCCATCTTGAACCACTTCCCGTATAAAATAGGATACAAACTTAAAAGTAATCAGTTAAAGATAAAACTTAAAGTAATCATGTAAACTGTAAACAAAAAGGTTAATATTTGAAATTTCACGTATAAAAAGCAAAGAAAAATTAAATTAACATGATACAATATATGACCAACCCAAAAAACTAGAAAGATAAAATAGACGATAAAATATTGTTTTGCTTCAAACGACAAAAAGGAAACAAAAGAAATTGATCCTATGGAATCAGTTGACAGTTACCGACCGAATAGGACTCCATAGGCCAAGGCAGTTTCATGCCTGGTTCCCTACCCCAAGGTCCTGTCGAGCTAATATAATGCAGACTTTTAGCCACTTATCTTCTTTACAAAATACACACCACTATCCCCGTCCGCTACTTCTTTCTGTGTTGCTATGGCGCCGCCCTCGTACTCTGACTCCCACCCTGGATACAGGACGTTGCCATGCCAACTGACGAAACAGGGAGCGGTTCCCAAAGCACGACTGGTGTGAAGCAGGTTGGCTCCCAAAGTGTGCGGCGCCTCATCACAGATGGAAAAAGACCGACTAAGGTAGTAATCTTTGCGATGGGGATAAGTACATATGTGTAACTCCGCGTATCCCATCTCTGCAAGCAACTCCTCCCTTAACGCAATCGCCTTCCCACCCAGGCCCCGCCCCCTTTGCGCCTTATCCACACACAAGCCCTCTGCGTACAGCGCCCGCTCCCTGTTGATGACGGGGATGAAACGGAAATGACCCACTAGGATTGCCTTATCACGTGCGTCGTCTGGGTGCTCGACCAATCCATACGAACATGGCGCAGTGGTGAGTTCTTGCTTGACCAGCTTCGGTAGAAGTTCCGCCTTGCATTGCGGCCATTCATCCTTTAAGATCTTGATGCAAGCAGGGATGAGATCGGGTATGGAGCGCAAAGGCCTCAAGGAATACGAGCACGCCATCTCAATGAATTAAAGTACAGCGCAGAGGACCGTGATACCAGTTTCAATATCACCAAAGGGAGAGGTGAATCAACATCGGAGACCTAAAAGCAGCAAAACGACATACTATTACGTTTTGATTTTGAAAACAAATGCTCAGCCTAATGAATATAATACCTCGGAAGCTGGATATATTGGAGGTTTATGCTTTCAACAAGAACGGTGCAGGGAACAAATGATGGAATATTCTGTCGCCACATTTTGCTGGTCCCAGAGGGCCAACTTACTATCATCTGTCTGACTGACTGACTGACTGACTGACTCCCCACTTACGCACTCACTCCCCCACTGACTCGTCACTGACTGTCACTTATAAACTAGATTAGTTAACTATCTGGCCGTACAATACTATCGCAAGCTCTGTAGTACGGCCAGACCGCCAATGCTCCCCTAAACGCTGAACTCTGATGTAGCGATTTTGCTACCGATTTTGATCGAAATTATCTTCTCATCCAGGACAAAAATTTCCACAGTTAAGGTTCCTAGTCGTAGAGGAACTCATACCTTTTCGAAAAAACGTTCTTTGGTCCCAATATTTTCATCCATATTCTCACAAAAATGTCCCATGGTGTTCCCATGGTGTCCCATGGTGTTTATCCCATTGTGTTCTATTGGTGAAAATCCACAGGAGCTTCCCATGTTCAGCATTAAAAAATAAAATTCTTCATAACCTCTATGACCACAAGGGAAATACATTTTTTAATTGAATTCAAATTTACAGGCGAATAATTAAGGTAGTAATCTTTTTGATAATTAAGGTACTAATCGTTTTTACATGTATATTTTGAGGGGCTTATCCTTCAATCAGAAACAGTGCATGCATGGTAAATGGAGGCGGGGAAAAACCAATACCGATGCCAACAATGGAATATTCTGTGGCCTAGTATGCATGGCATACATCACGGTAATACATCCGTACAAGGGAAAGTTTAGACGCTCCAAGAATAACAGTGTCAAATCTCCATTAACTACTGTAATTGCATACTAACTGGAGTTACCTCAGCCCTATATTTTATGTACCACACTGCACTAACTTTGAGGCTTGTGTCACTCGCATCAAGGCTGTGGTATGTATAATTACACACTAGCTGGAGTTACCTGCCCTATATTTCAGGTACCACGCCACACTAACTTTGAGGCTTGCGTCACTCGCATCAAGGCTGTGGTATAATAGCCTTTTGTCAAGGCCCACGCGGCCGGTGTGACAGGTAATTCTGTCCCCCTGGTAAATGTGTCCCCCGGACACATTTACCGGCTCGTGACCCGGTAAATGTGTCCGGGGGGACACTTTTACCTAGGTTAATTTTTCCCCCTCTGGGTAAAAATGTCCCCCTACCCAACGGTGAAAGTGTCCCCCTGGTAAATGTGTCCCCATGCAGTATGTACTGAGCAGCAGCGTGTCTCACGCGCCAGTACATGCTGCAAGATTTGAGGCAGTGATTATAACATGTGTACATATGCGCCTCCCCTACAATGGAAATTCGTCCAATAGGAAATTTCGTTACGCGCTATTATGGGAACACAGACCAATCCAAGGAGACGTTGTATCATACTATCAATGAGACGAGGGCCATCGCCATGCATCGCCGCTGTGTTGACCTATCGCGGTAGAATCGCGATAGACTTCACCGTACTCCGAATCGAAACATTGTGTTCACGTATCATCTAATGGACTAAATTAATTATTTTTTATATTCATGAAGGGCAGACTAAAAGTCCAAAATGTATACCCTGTAGAGTGAATTCATCAAAACAATAGCCTTCCGGATTTTAAAAGAGGGGGACAACAAAACCTGGGGGACAGAATTACCTGGAGGGGACATAATTACCTGGAGGAGGACAGAATTAACGGGCCACGGAGGACACTTTTACTTAGGTCATGCTGTCCCCCCGGACACTTTTACCGGGGGACAGAATTACTTTCCACACCGGCTACCTGGACACTTGACACACCCCGGATGTGGGCACGTAAAAAGACTAGCATGAGCGGCAAAACCGCGAGGGCCTTTACCATCTCTAATGCTTTTCTTTAAATTTATCTTCCCATTTGGAATAGAAATTTCTCTTGCTAATGCATTACCCGTTTGAATATTGACTAATGAAAATGTGGAATTACCAACAGCTGTTTAGACGATGTGACGACACCCGCGCATAAAAGAAATCGGAGCAAATCAAGATTTCTGGCGACTTTCGCGACAAAAGTATCGTTGAAGATTTGGTCCCGAAAAGCTTAGATTCTGAGTGTACATATCTAGAACATTTCAACCTCAACAACACCATGCAATAAAAGGTATGTTGAAGGGTAAATATCTCTCGTAAACCTTCTCAATGGGTTTCAGCAAAACCCATTGTTAATTGTTAATTTTATTATTTTACCGTTTCAATTGCTGGTTTTTTCTCTCACTGTTTTTAAATGTTTTTATTTCTTATCACAGGGCCATAATGTAAATCAGCCTTTGAGCTGATATTTTGTATCCTGTATAAAGATTTTGAAATAAATCAATACTCGAATGCACCTAAATATAGTTATGGCTGTGGTAACATATCCAGCAAATAGCGTGACATGATACTTGACATGCTTCGGTTGGACTTGAAGCTTCCCATCATAAAGCACGGTTGCATTTTATCGTTTGTTTTGCTTCACAAATGTGTTTTTCGTTTGGCTCATGCTGTCATGTACTTGATAGTCTAAGTCAACGTCTATATAACCATCGTCTAACACAACTACAGCAAATCATAACGGCCTCAGAGCCCTCACTTACCGGGTATTTCGGAGTGCACTTGTAGAAAAGGCGTGACACAGCTACAGTTGGGTTGAAGTTTATTTAGCATTAGATTTGATGTTGCATATTTACTGAGTGCAAGCCGAATGCATGCATAACCCACATCGACCTTTCCTTTTGCATAATAATGACTGGGGCCAGCCATTGTGAATTGCACATTTTTTTGGGGGTCACGGTTGGTTGAGAAAAATTGTACACCTGACGAGACTGATAAAATCCCCACCGTGCTGTGTACGAAAATCACCACAGGGCTGTGCGCTAGTGTAGTACTATACTGGACGCCTGTATTGCACAATTGCACAATTTATAATAATGATAATTGCACAATTTATAATAATGATAATAATAATAATTACCGGGAATGGGTCATTAGGGAGACTTTCCCATAGACTTGCGCACACAGTTTTTCCAACTTAAATATGCCCTAACCCAATATTCCCTTGTCCTTTTTCCACGAATTTCGGTATTTTTACTAATTAGACCACGAGCAACAAATATAACCTAATTGCGACGGTAAAATTTTGCCTCTAAAGGGGGGCTGCGCCATAAGGGAGACAGTTGTGTGTCTCCCTAAAAGCCGGTGTCTCCCTATTATTGAGGAAATTACGATAACGTGTCTCCCTAATAGTACATTTAGTAATATAATACCGGAGTCTGAATTATATAGCGCACGTAACTACCAACAATTAGGTACTCAAGGCGCTGGAAATTATGTCTATTATTAAAGACGGGTAAAATTAATGAAGTTGATGAGAAATATGAGACCCATTATGTAGCACCTTATAAGGGTTTACAAGGTGGTGCTGCGGCGCATATTGCAGCCACTGCCAGAAACACCGGGGCAAACCCCTTCTCTTAGCGACAAGTGTTACTGAGTTCTTTAACGTGCATTTCATCAGCTTTCCAACGGTGCGTGAACCGTTCTGTTTACAGCGTTGAACACACAGCGCGGCCGCCCCCAAAACGTTTCAAGAATTAACGATTTCAATTCGATATTGGTAAACTCAACAGTTTGACGCATGACTATTGGGACGTACAATATCGTTACACAATTATTCGTAAAGATTCAATATCTAAAGTTTTCAGTCCCAGTCCTTTATTTTAATACCTTTTGGGGGTGGGGTTTGGAGGGGGTGTTTTAAGGGGGCTTGGGTCATAATATATTACATAATCAAGTGATTTTGACTTTGATTTTGACAGATATATTTCGATTGCTGCTTGCCATTTATCATTACTGCACAAGGGCAATGTATGAATGTTGTCACTTCTACGAGACCATAAGTGCAACCTGCATCATTGTATATATTAAACAAAATTTACAAGGGGTGTTTAAAAGCAATATGAACAGAAAAGGATACGAACCATACAGAATAAATCAAAAAGACAGTGACCAAATTAGAATTTTGTTTAAATATAGATCGCTCCATTTCATAAAAATAACATAAGGTTAAAGTCCATGCTATTGACTAGTAACTGACAATTTCACTTATTTGCATACTCTATTCCAAAATCATGACTATTTTATTAAAAAGATCACAAAATTAAGCTCACAAAATTAAGCTGTCCACCACTGTCCACCACTGTTCTACGAAATAAATACAATGAAACATAAACGTTTTCCAACCTCCACGAATGAACGAAAACTTGCAAAGGAAAACAGACAAAGTTCCCCATCAATATTTCAGAAAACAAAGAGTGGACTTGTTCCTCATATTCAAAACACACAAATCTTACATTAAAAATAATGTTTCAGTTTTGACTCAAATAATTAAAATCCCATTTGTATTTGAATGCGTGTGTATAATTTGTAATTCTCACTGAGCTCAATAGCTTACAATGCTTCAGGATAAAACTTAAAATCATGTAAACTATAAAACAAAAAGGATAATACTTGAAATTTCACGTATAAAAAGCAAAGAAAAAATAAAATTAACATGATAAAATCTATGACCAACCCAAAAAACTAGAAAAATAAAATAGACGCGCGAACAAACATATTACACACAATAATAAAACGTTAAAAATATTAAGTACATATAAATTTAAAGTGGGAAAAAACCACCCTTAAACCAAATGGCCAACAAAAACAAAGGAGATAAAATAGAGATATTATCAAACAATTACACGCAACAATAAATCGTTTAAACTAGTAAATATAATTCTGAAAGATAGGAACAAAATAACATAAAACAATGATGGAAATGCACAATAAAACTAAATTACACACAACAGTGAAGCATTAAAAGAGTTAAAATTTAAAAAAAAAAAAAAACAACAACAACAACAACAAAAAACATTAGACAGCGGCTAAACGGGGGGGGGGGGGTGCAACTCCGATTCGCCACTGGACTGGTACTAGATACCGTGTGAAATTATACCCCATGAAATGGTAAAAGAAAGGTTTAGAAAACGATAATTGAAGATGTTTTTTTCCAAGCGTACCCATGGGCACCAGTTATTAAAAGTTGACGGTATTCGTGAATTAACTACATGTACATGTACTGCGAGGATTATCTATCCACTGGTATGGCACCTCGACGTCATGTTCAACAATCAGTCAGCAGAATGGAAAAAAAATCATGTCATGGGTGCTGATTTATGGATTTTACAAGAGTTCGTATGCAAGAGTTCAGAAGCGCTTTAGCGACGAAATCCACAAGACCAGAATAATTTTGTTTTCTAAAAAAATGTGTAGTAGGCCTATCCGTTGAGCTGAAACGATTAGTTATTTTGCATTCTACTGAAGATTATGAGCAAATATTGTTTTGCTTCAAACGACAAAAAGGAATCAAAAGAAATTGATCCTATGGAATCAGTTGACAGTTACCGACCGAATAGGCCTCCATAGGCCAAGGCAGTTTCATGTCTGGTTCCCTACCCCCCGGTCCTGTCGAGCTAATATAATGCAGACTTTTAGCCACTTAGTTTCTTTACAAAATACACACCAATATACCCGTCAGCTACTTCTTTCTGTGTTGCTATGGCGCCGCCCTCGTACTCTGACTCCCACCCTGGATACAGGACGTTGCCATGCCAACTGACAAAATAGGGAGCGGTTCCCAAAGCACGACTGGTGTGAAGCAGGTTGGCTCCCAAAGTGTGCGGCGCCTCATCACAGATGGAAAAAGACCGACTAAGGTAGTAATCTTTGCGATGGGGAGAAGTACACAAGTGTAACTCCGCGTATGCCATCTCTGCCAGCAACTCCTCCCTTAACGCAATCGCCTTGTCACCAAGGCCACGCCCCCTTTGCGCCCTATCCACACACAAGCCCTCTGCGTAGAGCGCCCGCTCCCTGTTGATGACGGGGATGAAACGGAAATGACCCACTAGGCTTGCCTTATCACGTGCGTCGTCTGGGTGCTCGACCAATCCATACGAACATGGCGCAGTGGTGAGTTCTTGCTTGACCAGCTTCGGTAGAAGTTCCGCCTTGCATTGCGGCCATTCATCCTTTAAGATCTTGATGCAAGCAGGGATGAGATCGGGTATGGAGCGCAAAGGCCTCAAGGAATACGAGCACGCCATCTCAATGAATTAAAGTACAGCGCAGAGGACCGTGATACCAGTTTCAATATCACCAAAGGGAGAGGTGAATCAACATCGGAGACCTAAAAGCAGCAAAACGACATACTATTACGTTTTGATTTTGAAAACAAATGCTCAGCCTAATGAATATAATACCTCGGAAGCTGGATATATTGGAGGTTTATGCTTTCAACAAGAACGGTGCAGGGAACATATGATGGAATATTCTGTCGCCACATGTTGCTGGTCCCAGAGGGCCAACTTAGTATCATCTGTCTGACTGACTGACTGACTGACTGACTGACCGACTGACTCCCCACTTCCGCACTCACTCTCATTTTGTACACGACCCCAATCGCGGACGTATGCCGGGAATCGTGGAAGATATATGTTCTCTTTTGTTCTTTTGTATTTTTTGCCCACGGTTTGAAAAGTGGAACACGTTCATACGTACATATTCGTTACTTTGGGGCTTGTTATTCACTGCAAGCCTATATTTTCAAGCAGCTTTGCGCAAAATGGGCTGGGTGTGCATGGCCGATTTGATCCGTAGCCTATTGGGTACACGATGACGCCCGGCTCACAAGTGACAAGTAATAAGTCAGTGAGTTACATCATTGAGGTACAAAACGCAGGCTTTCGGCTCACCCCTTCGTGCACAATTATGTCTACACTACAGTAAATAACAAAGGCTTCCGAGCGTGCTACCGTCCTGGGATATCAGTGTGCACTTGTAGTGGGATTAGTCAAGTCACGGCTGGCTGTACAGCTAAATTGTTTCTTTTTATAGTGAATAACGGTCGGCATTATGCGTGCATCCAGTATACATTCACATACACTATACAGGGTGTTTAAAAAAAAAGGATACCCAACTTCAAAGAATGAGTATGGACAGACGTTATGTTTACTGGCTATAAAACAGGTATAATGCTTTTCTATGATACCGTGTTTAGGTTTTCTGAGTCATGCATCAGTGAGCATCATTGTCTTGAAAACTGGATGCGAAAATGCCATTGGTTCACTTTCATGAAAAAAAAAACCACTGGGCACAGTGCTTCCTATTGTTACGAAAATGTATGTGAAATGGCTTGAATGTTAATCCTCGGGAAAATGGCACACTGTTTTGAACGTGCCTTGGTCAAAACGAGAAATTCATGACAAACAATAAAATCCAGTTTGGAAACCAACCCGACTTGTTTTTTAAGTTTCTTTTTAAGCACTCGCGTGTCTTCTTGAATACTTATTCTTATGCACACCATGCCTATTCAAGGGCGGATCCAGGGGGGGGGCAAAGTGGGTCATGGCCCCCTCCCCCCCCCCCCAAAAAAAAACAACGAAACCAACTTTTTTTTTAATGTGACATCGCAATAAAGGCAGGCAATGAGTACACCACCATCTTTTCCTCAAAATAAATTGGTTAAAGTGGTCAGAAATTGCCTCAGATCGCACCACAGAGCATCTAGAATAGAACATTTTTCCGAACCCCACGCCGTAATTTTTAAGACCCACTTTTGGGGGGACCAAATTTTTTTTTGGCCCCCCCAAAAAAAAAATTGTGTTCTGGATCCGCCCTATTGTGTTTGACATGAAAATGAACCAACTGCAATTTTGCATCAAAATATCATGACAGTGGCGCTCAGTGATGCATGACCCTGGAAATGTAAACAAGGTATCATTGAAAAGCATAGAGATTACGCTTTCAGATGATACCAGTTTATTTTAGTCTGTCCATACTGGTTCTTCAAAGTTGGGTTTCCTTTTTATTGAAACACTCTACATATACATTTTGTGCCCGTGTGATACACGCTACGTACGTACCAATTCATTCACACTTCTTTTCATGCTGACCGGGGAAGTTGGAGGTCATGTATGGAATTTCTCCCTTTTTGTATTGAATGGTTCAAGGTATGAACTTCGATGGGGTAAAATGGCGGCCTCGATGCTTTCGGTCATTTACGTTTGTACACTCTTCTATGAGGCCATTGCTTTGTGCACAGACAGTAGCAGTTACCACTGTTCAATCAGCTCCGGGATGGCCTTTCATGGCCACCCCTCGCCGGTCGTGGTTTACGACTGTTCCTTACAGAAATCTCCCATGTAGTTCCCATGGGAAATGTTCCCGTTGGACCCCATGGGAATTGCATGGTGAATTGGACACCATGCAGCATGGGATTTTTTTCCCATGGGAGTTTTCCCGTTGGCTTTTTCCCATGGGAAATTTCATATGTTTTTTTTTTCCCCATGTAAGGTTTCCTATTATTTCTCAAAAGATTGCTCCATGGTATCTTTCAATAACAACTTTCTTAATACATGTTAACCCTGTGTATTCAGTGCTATTCATCAAGATAAAGCACATCATTGAACTCCGATGGGGGTTGTTCCACGTATTAGGAGTGGCTTATAATTATGCACTCTATGACCAATGTCTAAATGATTGCTCCCATACCAATTGTCAAGTTGTACCATATTATCACAGTGTACCCATTTTATTTTCTTATAAATGCTACCAACCTTAATAACAAATGAACCAATATAATCCAAAGTTCTTTGAATGAAACATGTTCCACATCAAAAAATACTGTATGCTTCATTTGACGCCACATTTGACATCAACAGAAAATTCAAAAAAAAATGCAATTACAACACTCGTTATTGAAGCGATTCTCACAAAAAATGTCCCATGGTGTTCCCATGGTGTCCCATTGTTTATCCGATTGTGTTCTATTGGTGAAAATCCACAGGAGTTTTCCATGTTCAGCATTAAAAAATTTAATTCTTGATAACCTCTATGACCACAAGGGAAATACATTTTTTAATTGAATTCAAATTTACAGGCGAATAATTAAGGCAGTAATCTTTTTGATAATTAAGGTAGTAATCGTTTTACATGTACATTTTTGAGGGGCTTATCCTTCAATCAGGAACGGTGCATGCATGGTAAATGGAGGCAAGGAAGAACTAAAACCGATGCCAACAATGGAATATTCTGTGGCCTATTATGCATGGCATACATCACGGTAATACATCCGTACAAGGGGAAGTTTAGACGCTCCAAGAATAACAGTGTCAAATCTCCATTAACTACTGTAATTGCATACTAGCTGGAGTTACCTCAGCCCTATATTTTATGTACCACGCTGCACTAATTTTGAGGCTTGCGTCACTCGCATCAAGGCTGTGGTATGTATAATTACACACTAGCTGGAGTGACCTGCCCTATATTTTAGGTACCATGCTACACTAACTTTGAGGCTTGCGTCACTCGCATCAAGGCTGCGGTATAATAGCCTTTTGTCAAGGCCCACGCGGCCGGTGTGACAGGTAATTCTGTCCCCCCTGGTAAATGTGTCCCCCCGGACACATTTACCGGCTCGTGACCCGGTAAATGTGTCCGGGGGACACTTTTACCTAGGTTAATTTGTCCCCCTCCGGGTAAAAATGTCCCCCTACCCAACGGTGAAAGTGTCCCCCTGGTAAATGTGTCCCCATGCAGTATGTACTGAGCAGCAGCGTGTCTCACGCGCCAGTACATACATGCTGCAAGATTTGAGGCAGTGATTATAACATGTGTACATATGCGTCTCCCCTACAATGGAAATTCGTCCAATAGGAAATTTCGTTACGCGCTATTATGGGAACACAGACCAATCCAAGGAGACATTGTATCATACTATCAATGAGACGAGGGCCATCGCCATGCATCGCCGCTGTGTTGACCTATCGCGGTAGAATCGCGATAGACTTCACCGTACTCCGAATCGAAACATTGTGTTCACGTATCATCTAATGGACTAAATTAATTATTTTTTATATTCATGAAGGGCAGACTAAAAGTCCAAAATGTATACCTTGTAGAGTGAATTCATCAAAACAATAGCCTTCCGGGTTTCAAAAGAGGGGGACAACAAAACCTAGGGGACAGAATTACCTGGAGGGGACAGAATTACCTGGAGGAGGACAGAATTAACGGGCCACGGAGGACACTTTTACTTAGGTAATTCTGTCCCCCCGGACACTTTTACCGGGGGACAGAATTACCTTCCACACCGGCTACCCGGACACTTGACACACCCCGGATGTGGGCACGTAAAAAGACTAGCATGAGCGGCAAAACCGCGAGGGCCTTTACCATCTCTAATGCTTTTCTTTAAATTTATCTTCCCATTTGATAGAGAAATTTCTCTTGCTAATGCATTACCCGTTTGAATATTGACTAATGAAAATGTGGAATTACCAACAGCTGTTCAGACGATGTGACAACACCCGCGCATAAAAGAAATCGGAGCAAATCAAGATTTCTGGCGACTTTCGCGACAAAAGTATCGTTGAAGATTTGGTCCCGAAAAGCTTAGATTCTGAGTGTACATATCTAGAACTTTTCAACCTCAACAACACCATGCAATAAAAGGTATGTTGAAGGGTAAATATCTCTCGTAAACCTTCTCAATGGGTTTCAGCAAAACCCATTGTTAATTGTTAATTTTATTATTTTAACGTTTCAATTGCTGGGTTTTTTTCTCTCACTGTTTTTAAATGTTTTTATTTCTTATCACAGGACCATCATGTAAAACAGCCTTTGAGCTGATATTTTGTATCCTGTATAAAGATTTTGAAATAAATAAATACTCGAACGCACCTAAATATATGGCTGTGGTAACATATCCAGCTAATAGCGTGACATGATACTTGACATGCTTAGGTTGGACTTGAAGCTTCCCATCACAAAGCACGGTTGCATTTTATCGTTTGTTTTGCTTCACAAATGTGTTTTTCGTTTGGCTCATGCTGTCATGTACTTGATAGTCTAAGTCTACGGCTATATAACCATCGTCTAACACAACTACAGCAAATCATAACGGCCTCAGAGCCCTCACTTACCGGGTATTTCGGAGTGCACTTGTTGTAGAAAAGGCGTGACACAGCTATAGTTGGGTTGAAGTTTATTTAGCATTAGATTTGATGTTGCATATTTACTTAGTGCAAGCCGAATGCATGCATAACCCACATCGACCTTTCCTTTTGCATAATAATGACTGGGGCCAGCCATTGTGAATTGCACATTTTTTTGGGGGGGGGGTCACGGTTGGTTGAGAAAAATTGTACACCTGACGAGACTGATAAAATCCCCACCGTGCTGTGTACGAAAATCACCACAGGGCTGTGCGCTAGTGTAGTACTATACTGGACGCCTGTATTGCACAATTGCACAATTTATAATAATGATAATTGCACAATTTATAATAATGATAATTGCACAATTTATAATAATGATAATAATAATAATTACCGGGAATGGGTCATTAGGGAGACTTTCCCATAGACTTGCGCACACAGTTTTTCCAACTTAAATATGCCCTAACCCAATATTCCCTTGTCCTTTTTCCACGAATTTCGGTATTTTTACTAATTAGACCACGAGCAACAAATATAACCTAATTGCGACGGTAAAATTTTGCCTCTAAAGGGGGGCTGCGCCATAAGGGAGACAGTTGTGTGTCTCCCTAAAAGCCGGTGTCTCCCTATTATTGAGGAAATTACGATAACGTGTCTCCCTAATAGTACATTTAGTAATATAATACCGGAGTCTGAATTATATAGCGCACGTAACTACCAACAATTAGGTACTCAAGGCGCTGGAAATTATGTCTATTATTAAAGACGGGCAAAATTAATGAAGTTGATGAGAAATATGAGACCCATTTATGTAGCACCTTATAAGGGTTTACAAGGAGGTGCTGCGGCGCATATTGCAGCAACTTTCCAACGGTGGTGAACCGTTCTTTTTACAGCGTTGAACACACAGCGCGGCCGCCCCCAAAAGAGGGATACATGTATGTTCCTGCCCCAACACACACAAATGGAGTTTTGATGTTTTTGACGGCGTTTTGACGGCTCTTTTTTATGGCTCAGATAATAGTGTCTGTTCCTTTTTTTTGTTAGGTGAGAAACTGAACTTCAACATCCCGAGTGAACCTATAGTTGATACATGAACGGTTCTTGAAATGCCGTAGCGTGAAATGTCTTCAAAACGGCTCGATTTTGGACCTTTTCCGCATGGTTTATCTGTGTTTTCGGCCTCAATCGTGAAGTTTACGCAACATATCGATTTATGAGCAAGAAACCTTGCTAAATCAATTGTCCCTAGATGGGATGACATGTGGATGCGCTCCTAGAACATGTAAGTGTCACCCTAGAACATGCGGATCAATGCCACCCTACAGAATTAACATGTGGATGCCACCCTAAAACATGTGTATGCCACCCTAGCGTTTGTTTAAAAACTCTTGTTTACAAACTCAATACAGGCACGTTTAAAACAGAACGTATCACGAACAAACATTTTTAATTCGAAATTGGTAAATTAACAGTTTGACATGACTTTACGGACATACAATATCGTAAAAAGAATATACGTGTCAAGAATTAACGATTTCAATTCGATATTGGTAAACTCAACAGTTTGACGCATGACTATTGGGACGTACAATATCGTTACACAATTATTCGTAAAGATTCAATATCTAAAGTTTCCAGTCCCAGTCCTTTATTTTAATACCTTTTGGGGGTGGGGTTTGGAGGGGGTGTTTTAAGGGGGTTTGGGTCATAATATATTACATAATCAAGTGATTTTGACTTTGATTTTGACAGATATATTTCGATTGCTGCTTGCCATTTATCATTACTGCACAAGGGCAATGTATGAATGTTGTCACTTCTAAGAGACCATAAGTGCATGCATAATGTCCAGGCGTTCACTCATTACCATATATAAAAAGTAACCTGCACCATTCTACATATTAAACAAAATTTACAAGGGGTGTTTAAAAGCAATATGAACAGAAAAGAATACGAACCATACAAAATAAATCAAAAAGAAAGTGACCAAATTAGAATTTTGTTTAAATATGGATCGCTCTATTTCATAAAACAATAACATAGGGCTAAAGTGTATGCTATTGATTAGTAACTGACAATTTCACTTATTTGCATAGGCCCCTACTCTATTCCAAAATCATGACTATTTTATTAAAAAGATCACAAAATTAAGCTCACCAAATTAAGCTGCCCACCACTGTCCACCACTGTTCTACGAAATAAATACAATGAAACATAAACGTTTTCCCACCTCCACGACGAGTGAACGAAAACTTGCAAAGGAAAACAGACAAAGTTCCCCATCAATATTTCAGAAATCAAAGAGTGGACTTGTTCCTCATATTCAAAACACACAATTCGTGTATTAAATTGGATTGCTTTTTAATGAAACAAAAATCATGAATCCAGGTCACTTAATTTTTGACTCACTCTGTACGGTATCTCAAGCGTAATTTGACCCGAACATGGACATGGGTAAAAGAAAGGTTTAAAAAACGATAATTAAAGATGGTTTTTACCAAGCGTACCTATGGGCACCAGTTCTTAAAAGTTGACGGTTTTCGTGAAGTAACCACATGTACATGTACTGCGAGGATTATCTATCCACTGGTATGGCACCTCGACGTCATGTTCAACAATCAGTCAGCAGAATGGAAAAAAAAATCATGTCATGGGTGCTGATTTATGGATTTTACAAGAGTTCGTATGCAAGAGTTCAGAAGCGCTATAGCGACGAAATCCACTTACAAGACCAGAATAATTTTGTTTTCTAAAAAAAATGTGTAGTAGGCCTATCCGTTGAGCTTAAACGATTAGTTATTTTGCATTCTACTGAAGATTATGAGCAAATATTGTTTTGCTTCAAACGACAAAAAGGAATCAAAAGAAATTGATCCTATGGAATCAGTTGACAGTTACCCACCGAATAGGCCTTCATAGGCCAAGGCAGTTTCATGTCTGGTTCCCTACCCCAAGTTCCTGTCGAGCTAATATAATGCAGACTTTTAGCCACTTAGCTTCTTTACAAACCACACACCAGTATCCCCGTCTGCTACTTCTTTCTGTGTTGCTATGGCGCCGCCCTCGTACTCTGACTCCCACCCTGGATACAGGACGTTGCCATGCCAACTGACGGTTCCCAAAGCACGATAGGTGTGAAGCAGGTTGGCTCCCAAAGTGTGCGGCGCCTCATCACAGATGGAATAAGACCGGCTAAGGTAGTAATCTTTGCGATGGAGAGAAGTACACAAGTGTAACTCCGCGTATCCCATCTCTGCAAGCAACTCCTCCCTTAACGCAATCGCTTTCCCACCCAGGCCACGCCCCCTTTGCGCCCTATCCACACACAAGCTCTCTGCGTACAGCGCCCGCTCCCTGTTGATGACGGGGATGAAGCGGACATGACCCACTAGGCTTGCCTTATCACGTGCGTCGTCTGGGTGCTCGACCAATCCATACGAACATGGCGCAGTGGTGAGTTCTTGCTTGACCAGCTTCGGTAGAAGTTCCGCCTTGCATTGCGGCCATTCATCCTTTAAGATCTTGATGCAAGCAGGGATCAGATCGGGTATGGAGCGCAAAGGCCTCAAGGAATACGAGCACGCCATCTTAATGAATTAAAGTACAGCCAAGACTGGTTGTCTTTGTTCTGTGGCCAGCGCAGAGGACCGTGATACCAGTTTCAATATCGCCAAAGGGAGAAGTGAATCAACATCGGAGACCTAAAGCAGCAAAACGACATACTATTACGTTTTGATTTTGAAAACAAATGCTCAGCCTAATGAATATAATACCTCGGAAGCTGGATATATTTGAGGTTTATGCTTCCACCAAGAACGGCGCAGGGAACAAATGATGGAATATTCTGACTGACTGACTGACTGACCGACTGACTCCCCACTTACGCACTCACTCCCCGACTAGGAACCTTAACTTTGGAAATGTCTGTCCTGGATGAAAAGATAAATTCGATCAAACTCGGTAGCAACATCGCTACATCAGAGTTCAGCATGTAGGGGAGCATTGGCGGTCTGGCCGTACTACAGAGCTTGCGATAGTACAGTACGGCCAGATGCAGTCGGGCTAGTTTTATTCCAACGTTGATAGTTTCCTCAAAAGTTTTATTCAGTCTATTGATGTGTGTTTAAGCCTACTGACGTTCCAGAAGTTTGTTAATCATTGGATAGCAGGTGCATGACGAACTTGTGAGTTTTGAGAACATTAAAATTTGTGAACAACCAACATTTTGTGTGACGTTTTTCACGATTCAAGAACCGGCACGAGGCTTAATAAACAGTTACTGTAGTAGAACTCATTTCGGGAGAAAACACGCATTGCTACATTTTGTACACGACCCCAATCGCGGACGTATGCCGGGAATCGTGGAAGATATATGTTCTCTTTTGTTCTTTTGTATTTTTGGCCCACGGTTTGAAAAGAGGAACACGTACATACGTACATAATACATCGTTACTTTGGGGCTTATTCACTACAAGCCTACATTTTCAAGCAGCTGTGCGCAAAATGGGACGGGTGTGCATGGCTGATTTGATCCGTGGCCTATTGGGTACACGATGACGCCCGGCTCACAAGTGACAAGTAATAAGTCAATGAGTTACATCATTGAGGTACAAAACGCAGGCTTTCGGCTCACCCCTTCGTGCACAATTATGTCTACACTACAGTAAATTACGAAGGCTTCCGAGCGTGCTACCGTCCTCGGATATCAGTGTGCACTTGTAGTGGGATTAGTCAAGTCACGGCTGGCTGTACAGCTAAATTGTTTCTTTTTATAGTGAATAACGGTCGGCGTTATGCGTGCATCCAGTATACATTCACATACACTATACAGGGTGTTTAAAAAAAAAGGATACCCAACTTCAAAGAATGAGTATGGACAGACGTTATGTTTACTGGCTATAAAACTGGTATAATGCTTTTCTATGATACCGTGTTTAGGTTTTCTGAGTCATGCATCAGTGAGCATCATTGTCTTGAAAACTGGATGCGAAAATGCCATTGGTTCACTTTCATTAAACAAAAAACCCACTGGGCACAGTGCTTCCTATTGTTACGAAAATGTATGTGAAATGGCTTGAATGTTAATCCTCGGGAAAATGGCACACTGTTTTGAACGTGCCTTGGTCAAAACGAGAAATTCATGACAAACAATAAAATCCAGTTTGGAAACCAACCCGACTTGTTTTTTAAGTTTCTTTTTAAGCACTCGCGTGTCTTCTTGAATACTTATTCTTATGCACACCATGCCTATTCAAGGGCGGATCCAGGGGGGGGGGCAAAGGGGGCCATGCCCCCCCCCCAAAAAAAACCGAAACCAACTTTTTGTTTTAATGTGACATCGCAATAAAGGCAGGCAATGGGTACACCACCATCTTTTCCTCAAAATAAATTGGTTAAAGTGGTCAGAAATTGCCTCAGATCGCACCACAGAGCATCTAGAATAGAAAATTTTTTCCGAACCCCACGCCGTAATTTTTAAGACCCACTTTTGGGGGGAACCAAATTTTTTTTTTGGCCCCCCCCCCCAAGAAATTGTGTTCTGGATCCGCCCTTGTGCCTATTGTGTTTGACATGAAAGTGAACCAACTGCAATTTTGCATCAAAATATCATGACAGTGGCGCTCAGTGATGCATGACTCTGGAAATGTAAACAAGGTATCATTGAAAAGCATAGAGATTACGCTTTCAGATGATACCAGTTTTATAGCCAGTAAATTTAGTCTGTCCATACTGGTTCTTCAAAGTTGGGTTTCCTTTTTATTGAAACACCCTGTACATTTTGTGCCCGTGTGATACACGTTACGTACATACCAATTCATTCACACTTCTTTTCATGCTGACCGGGGAGGTTGGAGGTCATGTATGGAATTTCTCCCTTTTTGTATTGAATGGTTCAAGGTATGAACTTCGACAGGGTAAAAGGGCGGCCTCGATGCTTTCGGTCATTTTACGTTTGTACACTCTTCTATGTGGCCATTGCTTTGTGCACAGACAGTAGCAGTGACCACTGATCAATCAGCTCCGTGATGGCCTTTCATGTCCACACCTCGCCGGTCGTGGTTTACGACTGTTCCTTACAGAAATCTCCCATGTAGTTCCCATGGGAAATGTTCCCATTGGACCCCATGGGAATTGCATGGTGAATTGGACACCATGCAGCATGGGATTTATCCCATGGGAGTTTTCCCATTGGCTTTTTCCCATGGGAAATTTCATATGGGTTTTTTCCCATGTATGGTTTCCTATTATTTCTCAAAAGATTGCTCCATGGTTTCAATAACAACTTTCTTAATACATATTAACCCTGTGTATTCAGTGCTATTCACCGAGGTAAAGCACATCATGGAACTCTGATGGGGGTTGTTCCACCTATTAGGAGTGGCTTAAGCACTCTATGACCAATGTCCACATTATTGCTCCCATACCAATTGTCAAGTTGTACCATATTATCACAGTGTACCCAATTTATTTTCTCATAAATGCTACCAACCATAATAACAAATGAACCAATATTATCCAAAGTTCTTTGAATGACACATTTTCCACATCAGAAAATACTGTATGCTTCATTCGACGCCACATTTGACATCAACAGAAAATTCAAAAAAAAATGCAATTACAACACTCGTTATTGAAGCGATTCTCACAAAAATGTCCCGTGGTGTTCCCATGGTGTCCCATGGTGTTTATCCCATTGTGTTCTATTGGTGAAAATCCACAGGAGTTTCCCATGGTCAGCATTAAAAAATAAAATTCTTGATAACCTCTATGACCACAAGGGAAATACATTTTTAATTGAATTCAAATTTACAGGCGAATAATTAAGGTAGTAATCTTTTTGATAATTAAGGTAGTAATCGTTTTACATGTATATTTTTGAGGGGCTTATCATTCAATCAGGGACAGTGCATGCATGGTAAATGGAGGCAAGGAGAAACCAATACCGATGCCAACAATGGAATATTCTGTTGCCACCTTCCAGCAAATGTTACTCTTTTTGTGCGTACTGCGTACGGAAGCTGGTATAAATCAAGTCAAAGCTATTTTATTTATTTTTTTAAATGAAAACGAAAAAAAAAAAACACAGAAGAGATACATTCATGTACCGTTGATGTAGACTCGTCAGTATACGTGTAGCATCTGCACCGCATTTGAGAAATGTGTGATTCGATCAAGCTAAATGAGTCGTTTGTCGATCGACCCTGCACCCGATTTCATCAAACTCTTCGTAACTTACGATGCATCGCAGCGCTGCGACGCTTCGTATCTCTACGATGCGTCGCAGCTGCGACGCGTCCTGCGATCCATTTCACTAAACACGTCGTAAGTGCGACGCGTCGTAGGTATATTTATAGCACAACTCGGTGACTGTTTTATGTCTTAAGTCAGCGTACAGTAAAAAGTCGTCTGATATTCAACAAAGAGTCGTCGGATCTCAGCTCGAAATTTGTTAAAACGTAAAACAAAATGGCGGCCGTGCGATGCAATTTTGAAGGATACAAGCTCTCGTTGGACTGTATAGCTACTTCGAAATTTCAATTCTAATATTCCGGTGTAATTCATAATTATTCAATGAATTTTCTATTTACAACTTTACACACATTGCCTCGGTATTATAATCTCGTTAATGTAATGTTTGTGGCATAAAACTGGCTTAGAAATGACTCTTCTTATTTTGCGATGACCACTAGACACGTCGTAACTTGCGACGTGTTTTAAGCCGTTGTCAAGGAACTTACGACGCGTTTAACACATCGCAACTTTAGTGAAATGGAAGATACGACGCGTCTTGAGTTGCGACGTGTTACACGTCGTAACTTGAGTTGCGACGCGTCGCAGCGCTTCGTGAAATCAGGTGCAGGTCATTTTTATATTTTTTTAACAGATTTGAAAAGAGCACAATCTCAGCATTACTGTTGTGAAAACCGCATGCTGATATCATCTTTAGTTCAAAAATTATGGAAGTCGGAACACCAAGAGATGTGATGAAGTGATGTGTTGTTCCCCCTAAACCTAACATTGAATATTTTAAGCAATCTTTTAATTATTCTGGTGCGGTTATATGGAACAGCTTACCTGCTAAAGTCCAGAATGCATCTTCTATTGATGGTTTTAAATATATGTATAAGCAACTTTATTTGTAAAGTGCTTCTTTTAATGCTCATAATTTTTTTTTTTTTTTTTACAATTTTACAATTTTACCAGTGCTATTTTACAGCACAACTTACCTGCTTAGGTTAAGAATGAATCATTAACGGTTTTATAAACGTAAAGGGTGGGGAAGGGGGTTGGAGAAATGTCTATTTTCATGTACATTTTTACCTTCATAATAGTTTATTCTTTTTTATTCTTATTATCTTCATTGTTAATTGTTAATTTTATCATTTTACCGTTTTAATTGCTGTTTATTTTCTCTCACGGTTTTTAAATGTTTTTATTTCTTATCACAGGACCATAATGTAAAACAGCCTTTGAGCTGATATTTTGTATCCTGTATAAAGATTTTGAAATAAATAACTAAATAAATACTCGAACGCACCTAAATATATGGCTGTGATAACATATCCAGCTAATGGCGTGACATGATACTTGACATGCTTAGGTTGGACTTGAAGCTTCCCATCATATAGCACGGTTGCATTTTATCGTTTGTTTTGCTTCACAAATGTGTTTTTCGTTTGGCTCATGCTGTCATGTACTTGATAGTCTAAGTCTAACACAACTACAGCAAATCATAACGGCCTCAGAGCCCTCACTTACCGGGTATTTCGGAGTGTGTACTTGTGTTGTGTACGAAAATCACCGCAGGGCTGTGCGCAAGTGTAGTACTATACTGGACGCCTGTACAATCATAGTCATAGCTCAAACTGTGGTCCATTTTAGTTTTTATAACAGCTCAAATTGCACAATTTATAATAATGATAATTGCACAATTTATAATAATGATAATTGCACAATTTATAATCATGATAATAATAATAATAATTACCGGGAATGGGTCATTAGGGAGACTTTCCCATAGACTTGCGCACACAATTTTTCCAACTTAAATATGCCCTAACCCAATATTCCTTTGTCCTTTTTCCACGAATTTCGGTAATTTTACTAATTAGACCACGAGCAACAAATATAACCTAATTGCGACGCCAAAATTTTGCCTCTAAAGGGGGGCTGCGCCATTAGGGAGACATTTGTGTATCTCCCTAAAAGCCGGTGTCTCTCTATTATTGAAGAAATTACGATAACGTGTCTACCTAATGGTACATTTAGTAATATAATACCGGAGTCTTAATTATATAGCGCACGTATCTACCAACATTTAGGTACTAGGCGCTGGAAATTATGTCTATTATTAAAGACGGGTAAAATTAATGAAGTTCGTGAGAAATATGAGACCCATTATGTAGCACCTTATAAGGGTTTACAAGGTGGTGCTGCGGCGCATATTGCAGCCACTGCCAGAAACACCGGGGCAAACCCCTTCTCTTAGCGACAAGTGTTATTGAGTTCTTTAACGTGCATTTCATCAGCTTTCCAACGGTGCGTTGAACAGCGTTGAACACACAGCGCGGCCGCCCCCAAAAGAGGGATACATGTATGTTCCTGCCCCAACACACAAACATGGAGTTTTGATGTTTTTGACGGCGTTTTGACGGGTCTTTTTTTATGGCTCAGATAATAGTGTCTGTAATTTTTTTTTTGTTAGGTGAGAAACTGAACTTCAACATCCCGAGTGAACCTACATGTATAGTTGATACATGAACGGTTCTTGAGATACCGTAGCGTGAAATGTCTTCAAAACGGCTCGATTTTGGACCTTTTCCGCATGGTTTATCTGTGTTTTCAGCCTCAATCATTAAGTTTACGCAACATATCGATTTATGAGTAAGAAACCTTGTTAAATCAATTAGTCCCTAGATGGGATGACATGTGGATGCGCTCCTAGAACATGTAAGTGTCACCCTAGAACATGCGGATCAATGCCACCCTACAGAATTAACATGTGGATGCCACCCTAAAACGTGTATGCCACCCTAGCGTTTGTTTACAAACTCTTGTTTACAAACTCAACAAAGGCACGGTTAAAACAGAACGTATCACGAACAAACGTTTTTAATTTGAAATTGGTAAATTAACAGTTTGACGTATGACTTTACGGACATACAATATCGTAAAAAGAATACGTGTCAAGAATTAACGATTTCAATTCGATATTGGTAAACTCAACAGTTTGACGCATGGCTATTGGGACGTACAATATCGTTACACAATTATTCGTAAAGATTCAATATCTAAAGTTTTCAGTCCCAGTCCTTTATTTTAATACCTTTTGGGGGTGGGGTTTGGAGGGGGTGTTTGAAGGGGGTTATGGTCATAATATATTACATAATCAAGTGATTTTGACTTTGATTTTGACAGATATATTTTGATTGCTGCTTGCCATTTATCATTACTGCACAAGATTTTGACAGATATATTTTGATTGCTGCTTGCCATTTATTATTACTGCACAAGGGCAATGTATGAATGTTGTCACTTCTACGAGACCATAAGTGCATGCATAATGTCCAGGCTTTCACTCATTAGGCCTACCATATAAAAAAGTAACCTGCATCATTCTACATAATGCTTACATTATTAAACACAATTTACATGGGGTGTTTAAAAGCAATATGAACAGAAAAGAATACAGATCATACAGAATAAATCAAAAAGATAGTGACAGAATTAGAATTTTGTTTAAATATGGATCGCTCTATTTCATAAAAATAACATAGGGCTAAAGTGCATGCTATTGACTAGTAACTGACAATTTCACTTATTTGCATACTCTATTCCAAAATCATGACTATTTTATTAAAAAGATCACAAAATTAAGCTCACAAAATTAAGCTGTCCACCACTGTCCACCACTGTTCTACGAAATAGATACAATGAAACATAAACGTTTTCCCACCTCCACGAATGAACGAAAACTTGCAAAGGAAAACAGACAAAGTTCCCCATCAATATTGCAGAAAACAATTAACGTATCTCCTTAAATGAGAAAAACCTAGCTCAAAATGAACGAAGGACTGCAGGGGCGGATCTAGTTATGAACTCCGTTCGGGGGGGGGGGGGTCCGTGTGGGCTCCCCCCCCCCCCCTTACCCGGAAAATATTGAAATTCACGATGCTTTATCCTGCATCCTAAGGCAATTTGAGAATACACTTAAGAACTTTAGTATTCCATTAATTATTTGGGGCCCCATTTTACAAGAGTCGTTATTATAATTATTATTATTATAAATTTTTGACAAAGTCATGGGTTGTGGAAAGCCCATCTTGAACCTTTTCCCGTATAAAATAGGATAAAAACTTAAAAGTAATCAGTTAAAGATAAAACTTAAAGTAATCATGTAAACTGTAAAAAAAAAAAGGATAATAATTGAAATTTCACGTATAAAAAGGAAAGAAAAAATAAAATTAACATGATAAAATCTATGACCAACCCAAAAAACTAGAAAGATAAAATAGACGCGCGAACAAACATATTACACGAACACCCTCAAACCAACTGGCCAACAGAAACAAAGGAGATAAAATAGAGATATTATCAAACAATTACACGCAACAATAAATCGTTTAAACTAGTAAATATAATTCTGAAAGATAGGAACAAAATAACATAAAACAAGGATGGGAATGCACAATAAAACTAAATTACACACAACAGTGAAGCATTAAAAGAGTTAAAAAAAAAAAAAAAAAAAAAAAAACATTAGTCAGCGGCTAAACGGGGGGGGGGGGGGGCAACTCCGATTCGCCACTGGACTGGTACTAAATACCGTGTGAAATTATACCCTCTGAAATGGTAAAAGAAAGGTTTAGAAAACGATAATTGAAGATGGTTTTTACCAAGCGTACCTATGGGCACCAGTTCTTAAAAGTTGACGGTTTTCGTGAATTAACCACATGTACATGTACTGCGAGGATTATCTATCCACTGGTATGGCACCTCGACGTCATGTTCAACAATCAGTCAGCAGAATGGAAAAAAAAATCATGTCATGGGTGCTGATTTATGGATTTTACAAGAGTTCGTACGCAAGAGTTCAGAAGCGCTATAGCGACGAAATCCACTTACAAGACCAGAATAATTTTGTTTTCTAAAAAAATGTGTAGTAGGCCTATCCGTTGAGCTTAAACGATTAGTTATTTTGCATTCTACTGAAGATTATGAGCAAATATTGTTTTGCTTCAAACGACAAAAAGGAATCAAAAGAAATTGATCCTATGGAATCAGTTGACAGTTACCCACCGAATAGGCCTTCATAGGCCAAGGCAGTTTCATGTCTGGTTCCCTACCCCAAGTTCCTGTCGAGCTAATATAATGCAGACTTTTAGCCACTTAGCTTCTTTACAAACCACACACCAGTATCCCCGTCTGCTACTTCTTTCTGTGTTGCTATGGCGCCGCCCTCGTACTCTGACTCCCACCCTGGATACAGGACGTTGCCATGCCAACTGACGGTTCCCAAAGCACGATAGGTGTGAAGCAGGTTGGCTCCAAAAGTGTGCGGCGCCTCATCACAGATGTTATAAGACCGGCTAAGGTAGTAATCTTTGCGATGGAGAGAAGTACACAAGTGTAACTCCGCGTATGCCATCTCTGCAAGCAACTCCTCCCTTAACGCAATCGCTTTCCCACCCAGGCCACGCCCCCTTTGCGCCCTATCCACACACAAGCTCTCTGCGTACAGCGCCCGCTCCCTGTTGATGACGGGGATGAAGCGGACATGACCCACTAGGCTTGCCTTATCACGTGCGTCGTCTGGGTGCTCGACCAATCCATACGAACATGGCGCAGTGGTGAGTTCTTGCTTGACCAGCTTCGGTAGAAGTTCCGCCTTGCATTGCGGCCATTCATCCTTTAAGATCTTGATGCAAGCAGAGATGAGATCGGGTATGGAGCGCAAAGGCCTCAAGGAATACGAGCACGCCATCTCAATGAATTAAAGTACAACCAAGACTGGTTGTCTTTGTTCTGTGGCCAGCGCAGAGGACCGTGATACCAGTTTCAATATCGCCAAAGGGAGAAGTGAATCAACATCGGAGACCTAAAGCAGCAAAACGACATACTATTACGTTTTGATTTTGAAAACAAATGCTCAGCCTAATGAATATAATACCTCGGAAGCTGGATAAATTTGAGGTTTATGCTTTCACCAAGAACGGTGCAGGGAACAAATGATGGAATATTCTGTCGCCACATTTTGCTGGTCCCAGAGGGCCATCTTAGTATCATCTGACTTACTGACTGACTGACTGACTGACCAACTGACTCCCCACTTACGCACTCACTCCCCCACTGACTCGTCACTGACTGTCACTTATGAACTAGATTAGTTAACTATCTCATCTATTCCTACCTCCATGCTATACCGTCACTTATGATCGACTAACATTGGTCTGAGATCAGCTTGATGAGGGTTTGCCTCTGTAATTCATGAAGGCCTACGTGACTTGTATGATGTGGCATCTACAGGCATACACACCCACACAAACGTGTGTTCACCGTCGATCGTGGACGTCCTGTTGTCCCTCTTTTGTTTGTAACTCCCATAGGTTTTGAACACGACCCCAATCGCGGACGTATGCCGGGAATCGTGGAAGATATATATTCTCTTTTGTTCTCAGGTATTTTTTTGTCCACAATTTGAAAAGAGGAACACGTACATACGTACATAATACATCGTTACTTTGGGGCTTATTCACTACAAGCCTACATTTTCAAGCAGCTGTGCGCAAAATGGGCTGGGTGTGGTGCACGGCCGATTTGATCCGTGGCCTATTGGGTACACGATGACGCCCGGCTCACAAGTGACAAGTAATACGTCAGTGAGTTACATCATTGAGGTACAAAACGCAGGCTTTCGGCTCACCCCTTCGTGCACAATTATGTCTACACTACAGTAAATTACGAAGGCTTCTGAGTGTACTTACCGTCCTGGGATATCAGTGTGCACTTGTAGTGGGATTAGTCACGTCACGGCTAGCTATACAGCTAAATTGTTTCGCTCTAAGCCACGATGGCCTTGGCGAAAGGCTAGCGTCATGCGTGCATCCAGCATACATTCACATACACTGTACATCATTGTCCAGTTATGCCCGTGTGATACACGTTTCGTTCAGCCCAATAAGCCATTTGCGAGTAACCTATACCCTTTGGGATTTACATTTGAAAAACGTCTGGTACAATGACTTGCTCAGAATGCTTGGCACATTTTAACTGTGAATTCTCCAGACCAAAGACACTGTTGCTAATCACATGATTCGGGGCAAGCTCTTGCATAGTTACGTAAGAGACGCTCAGCACCAATACATCGTTCACAATGGGTGAGAATGGCACAAAGACACCAGACCATGCCGGAGCTGGGGGTTGCTAGCATAAGGCTTGCCCCGAATCACGTGATATAGTAACAGTCTCTTTGGTCGGGAGAATGCTAGGTTAAAACGTGCAAAGCATTGTATTAAGTCAGCATTCCAGATTTTATTCAAATTTAACACGCAAATGGCTTATTCATTCACGCTTCTTGTCGTACTGACCAATGAGGTTGGAGGTCATGTACCCTCCCTTTTTGTATTTAATTGTCCAAGGTATCATAGAACAAGGAAGGTATGAACTTCGGTGGGTTACACGGGCGGCCTCGATGCTTTCGGTCATTTTAAGTTTGTACACACTTCTATGAGGCCATTGCTTTGTGCATAAACAGTAACAGTGACCACTGACCAATAATGCTCCGTGAGGGCGCCTTCCATGGCCACACCTCGCCGGTCGTGGTTTACGACTGCGGTTTATGGCAGTCAGGCAAGTATGAATGATGACTGGCTAGGTCACAGAGCGGGGTTCGGGTCGAAGTGACCACGCCAGTGGGCATAGTGACCGTTTTAGCCGATTTTCGGTTAACTTTGACAGATTATTTGTTTTAAAAAAACGAGTTTGACAGAAAATTTGACAGAATGGATTTTTTTTGGCAGATTTCTGGCAGAATTGTGCAAAAATGGATATTTGAAAGAAAAACAGCAAATTTTCAATAAAAAATGGAACATTTGTTTACAAAAGCTTCAATCTTTTTAAACAAACCCTTGCAAAATAGGACAGGTTGCCTGGTCTAGGTGCTGAGGTTCACTGGGAACCAGATTTATTTTCGCAATTTCATATATATTATCTTTATGTGGTTATAGATTGTTTATAATGTAATTTGAACATTAATTAAGGCAATATTACAACATCTGCATGTGATTTAAAGTGTTTATAGTGTATTTCGAATAATTCTGGGGAATTTGGCCAATTTTTGATTAATCTGACAGAGTTTTGAAGCGCATTGAGCAGAATTTAGTCATGACCTTACGGTTACCCTGCCAGTGGGATTCGTTGTTTCAAAGACCAAGACCAAGTCGAGAAGCACAGGGTACATTTTAAAAACTACATCGTACTTTTACCTTCTCGATTATAAATGGAAACATCCATTACTCCACCAAAGAATAGTACATATTCTGTTGTACTTTCTTTAAAATGTCCTCCTGTGTCTTTCCATACAGCTCTTCGGAATTCAAAGATCCCTCAAAATCTTTCTTTTGTATAGTAGCTTTGGCTTTTTTTCATCAACAAAAGGGGGAGGCGTGCGTAATAAAAAAAAAAACATCGTAAGATCCTATACGTTCAGAAAAGGGGGATCATCTCTATTATCGAACACCTTCAATTCAGAAAAGGGGAGAAAAACTTCAGAAAGTTCATTATAAAAATGAATGAATTAAATTTACAGTTTCTATATACTGATATTATCTAAATTCCATTAAGCAAATCTGAGTGAATGTTTTAGGATAATCTAGGATATGAAAGCCCAATTCATAAGCTTTCTTTTTAGTACAAGACTCATTCAGATCACTCATGTACTTTTCAAGTTACGGAATTTTAAACACAACCACCGTTTTAAAGTTCTGTCCACGGATCACACAAAAAAGGTGTGCGTTCTTTCAGCAAAACGAAAACAATTCACACATCCCCATGTGATTTTGTTTCGTTTTGCTTGAAGAACACTTACCTTCTTGTGATCCATGGACGGAACTTTAAAGGGAAAATGCAACATATGCAAAACATCAAAAAACGAAATGATCACGAAATACCTCACTCTTTGCGTCTAAAGCATCCTTTAAAATCGTGGTTCCTGGTGTGCTGACATTTTCAAGAAAAGTTCTCCAACGCTGGTAGGCCTGCCACCGTTGGAGAAAACTGTTTTTTTTTCTAAAAATGTTCCTAATTTTTCATAGTTAGTTATTAAGAATGTTCTTTGCAATTGATTACACGTGAAGGGGTTACAAGCCTGCATGACTGATTCTCTGACCTAACATTCCCCAAAGTGTATTAATTGCTCCGTTTCATGTTAAACTCATCACCCTACATATATGTCAGAGACTATAATAATGTTGGTGCATTTAGGGACCAAAAACTACCGGACTAAAAAACCCATGCAGCTTGAGGCTGACTTTTACAGCGGAATAGGAAAGAACGATTAATTATCAAGAATTAATAAATACCTTGGAGAGTTGATGGTTTCTGATTGGTCGAGACTCGATCACGTGGCCGGGCATTAACGGTCATAATGGACCGGCTTCAAAGATCAAGCGAATACATGTAAATGGCCCCTGAACCAGCATTGATCAAGCCCCGTTCAGCCCCATGCAAGCCAATGATTGGTCAAAATATAGTAACAGTCCTGCGGTAGCTTTTAACAATTGAGCACTGTACATGCGCTCAACCCCCATCGCGTGAGACTGACGCGCGCGTACGCAACACAGTTGCTATAGGGATGCGTGCGTGCGCGCGCGTAAGGAAGTTTTGAAACGACATCATACAGTATATACTGAGGATGTTTACGACGAAAACGTAGATCTACGATTTATTTACTTTGAAACACTTCACCCACCGACATATTTACCTTTCCTAAACCAAGCATCTTTGTAATTCCGGACACATGGAATATGTAAACGAGATTTCAGCTTCCTCCATCAGGTAAAGATATGAAAACATTGTTGTAATTTGTTTCGCTACGGCAGCAGTTTCTGTTGAGTTTACGTCGTTCGCGTTATAGCTGTTAAGCTAAAATATGGCCCATGAACATGAACACAAAAAAGTCTGGAAATATCGCCGGAAAAAAGTCTCAAAATTGGAGCATTATAACTGTTAAAACTTCGTCTCGGTCCATTAACAGCGGTCACCCACACACCCGGTCATTATCACGCAGTGAAGACCGGCTCCTCACACTGTTATTCCCTTATTAAAGGTTCATGATATGAATTTTTCTGAGGAACGTACACAGTGTATTTGTGCGACTTTCTACTTCTCTTAAATGCATGTTAAGTATTTTACATCCGTTTTTGGTTATTTCTATTTAAAAGTGCCCTTAAGCCTAATTCTTTCAACATTTAAAAAGTGTCCATGTTTTTTCCCCCGGAAAACAGAGGGCGATGTGGCTGTGAGAATCATTTCAGGAAGACACTGCGCAGTTTAAGTTTTGTGGTGAAATTGTGAACCCAAAAAGTTTGGTCATTGAAAACATTTGTGAGAAAAGTTTGTTCATCGGGCTTACTGCCATGTACTGACACATCGACGAATCACCAAAGAACAGAAAATTACGACAGAAAAATATCAAATTCTGGCAATGGTTTGGTGCTGAAACAGCTGTAACATTGAGGTTTCTACCGCCCTGAAATGACATCACACTTTTGCTCATGAATATGCACATACATGTGTAACCCCAAAAGGCACCAAAAGACCCTTGAAAATGGCAAAACGAAAATTGAAAATAAGGTTTAATTGGACAAGGTGCGTTTTCAAGGATTGCTTAAAAAATAAATTGCAGGTTTTTTTTTTAAAGTCTGTTGGAATGGACTACGGCAGCAGGCCAGGGCAGAATCGTGTCCACATTACGTAGACTCTAAAAACAGATTGGTTGAAATAACCAATATTGGTTAAAGAGGTTGTGGAATGCTCGAAGACATTTCCGTCATTTTTCGGGTATATGTAGCCTAAGGTGTGATGAAATAAAAACGACTATTGTTTCTTTCATGAAATGAGTACAAAAGGTACTTTTGAGAGCTGTTTTTCAAGTCCTGTCATGCCTGTTTCGACCCGAACGTGCAATTTGTCTAAAAGTCGTCGTTGCGGGCAGCAAACATAACACAGTATATCGTGACGTAATAAACAGGACTCCCGATGCAGAGTAGTATGAACGAGTCCTGTTTATTACGTCACGATTTACTGTGTTTTGAAAAAACAGCTCTCAAAAGTACCTTTTGTACTCATTTCATGACAGAAACAATAGTCGTTTTTATTTCATCACACCTTAGGCTACTTATACCCGAAAAATGACGGAAATGTCTTCGAGCATTCCACAACCTCTTTAAAATGTGGACAACATGTGGTTGTTTCAATATAGCCAATGTTGAGGACGAAGCCCTAACGAGCTCAGCAGGCACACGAAACCGAAGTTCGCGGTTGTTGTTTAGTCCTGATCGTCATGTCGAGTCGACAAAACAACGAACCAAACATCAACATTGGACCATCGAGGCGACAGGAAATGCAAACGCGAAATTGCAACATCACGGCAATTATTCGCACTGCGTGAAGCACGAACCGGTCGCCATAGTCAGGATAACGTTTTTCAAACTAGTCATCAGGCAGGTGTTACAATTGGTCACAAACAGAAGTTAGAATGACGTCATTTCTTCTCGTATCATGTCCAGTTCACGCGAATGCGAATACGAAGGAAATGTTGTAGCCACGACATTATTCGCTGCGCCGAACGTTGCCGAGGTTGAGATGTGTTCAACTTTTGCGGATTCGCAGAGCGAATTCTTGACGTGTGCCACAAATCGTCACCGTTTTCACGAACAGCCACATACTATATATATTATGTTGATTTTGAAGTAAAGTGTTTTCAAGATAATCACAAAAGAAGTTTCTCATATTTTAAAACTGCAAGTAATACTACTTTGCAACAACTTTGTGCAGCAAGAAAACCATCACACGATTCTACGTGAGCTGAAGTTTTACATAAACCCGGTAACAAGACTTAATAAAGCAGTTAATTAGTGGAAATTAATTAGTAAAGATATGTGGCTCTTTGTGAAAACGCAAATTCACGTTTCCGACATATTGGCCCTTTCTGTTCAACGTGTATTTCCATAGGCGCGCGTGAGTACGCGCGCGCGCCT